AAAAAAAAAATTTTCAGGTGCACATATGAAAAACGAAGGAAAATTTAGTTTGGTCTTAATGAACTTGGAATTTTAGTACTCTAACATAGAGAGGGCTGCAGCAAAGCCTATATATACCCATGTTATCATTGACTAGAAATGGACTTCACACGACTACATACAATTAAGCAAAAAGAAACCATTTTTGCTTAATTGAACAAGTTGTATCATTTGGCATTAATAGTTTGGACATAAACTTTAGAAGTAAAGATAAAGAAGGCGTTATGGTGTTACAATACATTTGTGAAGATAATTTTCTTCAGCTAATATTTTGGGGATACAAGAGGAAATTTCCTTTTGTTGTTCTCGCCACTTGAGTATATTCTCTGCCAGTTCTTCTGTCTCAGTCACCAAAATATCCATCTTGGCTAAAGCCTTGCTCATTCTCTTTAGATCTGCATCTAAATGAGGAATATTTCTAATTGTTTCAAGGTGGGTTTCTAATCTCTCAATAAAAGTCACTGCCAACTCCAGCAAATGTACCATGTATCTGTGATAAACTGCTTCAATAGGCAGGTTTTCCTGGCACATGGGTTTCAACAGTCTTTGCCTGAGGGACCTCTTCTCTTTTAGCACTGCTTCCAAATGAGTATTCATGCTTTGCAGAGTTTGACACTTTTGAGCCAAAAAAGAAGGATGAACAATGTCTGCTGTATCTTTTTCTAGTTTTAGAAGTTCAATCTCCAGGTTTTTCTGATTGATTTCAGCTTGAATATTTGTGATCTGCTGTAGCCTGGAGAAGTTCACAAAGCAAGGAGTAGATTTCTTAGATATATCTAATATCTCCTGAGCGACTGTCCCCGAGGCCACGATATGGCCCAGCAGTAGCCCGGCAGGGTTTGGCGCTGGCGCCGGGTCCCCAGGGTCGGCTGCAGCCATGCCGGAGACGCACCTCCCCGAGCGGCGCCGGGAATCTATCCCCTTCTATTCCCAGTGAATTTTCTTTAATCTGTACCAGTGAATCATATGGTTGAAATATGTTTACTACCACACTAAATTTGTTAATTCCACAATTTTGATACCTTCTTAGCAACAAAATGTCTTATGTTCAACTTTATCCACCACATAGAATCATTTCTCTATATTTTATTTGCAAAAAAACCCAAAAAACACACATCCTGTATTCCAATATCCTATATAATAAAAGACTAATATGCAAATCGACCAAACTGCAGAACGACCAGTCACTATGACACGCACTGACCACCAGAGCTGACATGCACTGAACACCAGAGGGCAGATGCTCAATGCAGGAGCTGCCCCCTAGTGGTCTGTGCACTCCCGCAGGGGGATTACCACTCAGCCAGAAGCCCTGAGCCGGGCTCATGGCTGGCAAGTGCAGCCGCAGTAGCAGGAGCCTCTCCTGCCTCCATGGCAGTATTAAGGACGTCCGACTACTGGCTTAGCCTGCTCCCCTCATCAGACATCCCCCGAGGGCTCCCAGACTGCGAGAGGGCACAGGCCGGGCTGAGGGACCCCACCCCTGCCCCCAGTGCATGAATTTCATGCACCGGACCTCTAGTATAAAATAAAATCTAAAACTTATATATAATGTAATGTACTCTAGTTACATATTAGGTGAGGAAGAATCCATAACATAAACAGGTCACTGTGCCTTTCTGCCCACTGAGTTTCCACTTACATTTCCCCTGAACGTTTCTCTAGTACCTTCATGTTAGCACTTCATTTCACACATCCTCTAATGTAGGCAGGAAGCAAAAGACTCAGCATCCTGTTTATGTCATCATATGCTAGTTGGTTTTCTGAAATGCAAAATGAATGGAAGAGAAAGAAAAAAATCAAACCAAGTGCCAGATCATCTCTTTATAATTTCATATTTGCAATTTTACCTAAGTCACGATTTTACTAAAAGGGGAAGTTTGAAGGTCTTAATATAGATTTATTAGAGTTCTTTCTTTCTAAGTGATGGTCCATGCCTTATTCAACTGTTATGAAGGTCCATACTACTCAATCATTTAACATCTTTAGCTACCTTCCCTCTGAGACTCAACCACAATACTGAGCTCAGGCTTAGAAAATACACAGAAATTATTTTATTTAACTGGAGTCTAAACTAAGGAATAATTGGTTTCTGCCTCTCCTGGGGAGGCTCATAGACCCTTGCAACCCCCAATGTCTTTCATTAGCAAGTGTGCGTAGTGTCCCACTTCGAGGGTCCTTGAGGCCTATGTGACTGTGCCCAGCATCTTTCCTGCATTGGCCACATTTAGTAAATGCTTCCCAGGACAGACTCTCTGCTGCATGTACTTCTCCATGACTTTGTTGCTGTCTCTGGTAGCTGAACACAGAAGAAAGAGGATTGAATTAATAATTATTGGTAAAATGGTGGTTACCAGGGACTGAGGGGGTGGGGCAATAATAGAGATATTGTTCAGGGTACAAACTTACATCCAGTAGTACAAAGGTCCCAGAGAGCTACTTCAAAGTATAGTGAATATAGACAACCATATTGTAATATTCAAACTTGCTGAGAGACTAAATCTTCATTACACCAACCAAAAAAGAAATGATAACTATGTGATGTGTAGAGGTGCTAACTATTGCTAATATATTATGCAAATTAGGCTGGGATGCCGTAACGGGTCACGACCAGACAGGAGGTTGTGTGTGCAGGTGAGGCCCTGAGCGGAGACAGAGACAGAGACAGGGGGGCCAGAGCAGACAGGACAGGGACACGGGGGCTGGCCTGAGCCACCGCAGCCAAGTGCAGGCTGGGAGAGGAGAGGGCAAGCCCGCCTGCAGCCTCCGTGGCCGATGGTAGGCCCAGAGAGGAAAGGGCGGGCCGCCGGCAGCCTCCCTGGCTGATCACAGGCCAAGAGAAGAAAGGGAGGCTTGCCCGCAGCCTCCCAGGCCAATTGCAGGCCCTGAGAGGAACGAATGGCCCACCTGCAGGAAGTTCTTGCCAGAGCAATACAGCAAAAGAAAGAAATAAAAGGCATCCAATTAGGGAAGGAAGAAGTAAAACTGTCACTTTTTGCAGATGACATGATTCTGTATATAGAAAACCCTAAAGACTCCATAAAAAACAACAACAAAAAAAACCTATTAGAAACAATAAACCAACACAGTCAAGTGGCAGGATACAAAATTAATGTGCAAAAATCATTGTTTTTCCTGTATACTAACAACAAAACTTCAGAAAAGAAATTAAAGAAAATTACTTTTGCAATTATAACCAAAAGAATAAAATACCTAGGAATAAACTTAACAAAAAACATGAAAGACCTATATACTGAAAATTACAAAGCATTATTAAAAGATATTGAAAAAGACACAACAAAATGGGAAAATATCCTGTGTTCATGGATTGGAGGAATCAACATAGTTAAAATGGCCATATTACCCAAAGCAATATACAGATTTAATGCAATCGCCATCAAAATCCCAATGTCATTTATTAAAGAAATAGAATGAGAAATCATCAGATTTGTATGGAACCACAAAAGACCCTGAATAGCTAAAGCAATTCCGAAAAAAAAGAATGAAGCTGAAGGTAACACATTACCTGACTTCAAATTATACTACAGAGCTACAATAATGAAAACAGCATGGTATTGGCAGAGAAACAGACACACAGATCAATGGAACAGAATAGAGAGTCCAGCTATAAAACTATATATATATGACAGATAATTTTCAAAAGATGCCAAAAACACACAGTGGCTTAAAGATAGTCTCTTTGATAAAGGGTGCTGGGAAAACTGGAAAGTCAGATGTAAAAGAATGAAACTGGATTACAGTTTGTCCCCTTGCACAAAAATTAATTCAAAATGGATCAAAGACCTAAATATAGGGTCCAAAACAACAAGTTACAATTAGAAAATATAGGTACCAAACTTATGGACATTGGTTGTAGAGAACATTTTATGAGCTTGACCCCAAAGGCAAGGCAAGTAAAGGCAAAAATAAATGAATGGGACTATCTATAATAATAAAAGTGTAATATGCTAATTAGACTGGACATCCTTTCAGACGACCTTCCGGATGAAGCTGGAGCTGGGAGGGAAGCCCGGGTCCAGGTGCCAGAGGGAAGCTGGTGCCGGCAGCCAGGGGAAGGAAGGCCTACTCTTGCACGAATTTCGAGCATGGGGCCTCTAGTATCAAACTAAAAAGTTTCTGCACAGCAAAAGAAACTGACAACAAAACAAAGAGGCAGCCAACCAAATGGGATATGATATTTGCAAACAGTAGCTCTGACAAAAGTTTAATTTCCAAAATATATAAAGAACTCATACAACTCACCAAACAAACAATCCAATCAAAAAGTGGGCAGATGTCCTAAAAATACACCTTTCCCAAGAAGACATACAAACAGCCAATAGATATATGAAAAGATGTTCAACCTAACTGGCAATTAGGGAAATTTAAATAGAAACTACAATGAAATAACACCTCACACCTGTCAGAGTGGCCATTATCAACAAGACAGGCAATAACAAGTGGTGGAGAGGTTGTGGGAAAAAGGGAATGCTCATTCACTGCTGGTAGAGATGTAGATGGTACAACCACTATGGAAAGCAGAGAATAGAGCTACCATATAACCCAGCAATACCTCTCCTGTGTATATACCAAAAAACTTGAAGTCATGTATTTGAAAAGATATATGCACCCCTATGTTCATTGCAGCATTATTCATGTAGCCAAGACATAGAAACAAGCAATAGAGGACTGGATAAAGAAGATATGGTACATTTACACAATGGAATATACTCAGCCATAATAAAGGATGAAATAGTGCCACTTGCAACAACATGGATGGATGCTGATAACATGAAATAAGTCAGCCAGAAAAAGCTAAGAACAGCCCTAACCGGTTTGGCTCAGTGGATAGAGTGTTGGCCTGTGGACTGAGGGGTCCCGGGTTCAATTCCGGTCAAGGGCAGGTACCATGGTTGCGGGCATATCCCCAGTGGGGTGTGTGCAGGAGGCAGCTGATCAATGTTTCTCATCAATGTTTCTGACTCTCTATCCCTCTCTCTTCCTCTCTGTAAAAAATCAATAAAATATATTTTTTAAAAAGCTAAGAACTATATGATTTCACTCACATGTGGGATAGAAAACTGAACACAAACAGCAGTGTGGTGATTGCCAGAGTGAATGGGGTCCTAATATAAGGTGACAGGAGAAGATTTGACTTTGGGTGGTAGGCACATGGTGCAATATACAGATCTTGTAACATAGAAACTCACACCTGAAACCTATATGTTCTTGTTGACTAATGTAACCCCAATCATTTAATAAATAAATATTTTATAAAAAGAAAAGAAAAGCTTGCCGGAAGCCGGTCCATCCTTGCTGCTTGACACAGTCGCTGCAGGAAAGAAACATCTGCACAGCATATGTTTCAAGGGACCTGGCATATATAGCATATTGTTCTTAATATGTTTGCTCTCCTTAGGAGCCATGTGTTTTAACCAAGGTCACCTCTCCGAGAAAGGTTGTTTCCCCAGGTAGGGATTTTTCCCTGAGGTTAGGGAGGGGATACAACCCCTTAACTAAGTGCCAGGCGGGTAGTTAATCACTTTAACTACAAACAATCACGCTTAAGCTACATAATCTTTACTCCCTGGAATGGAGATAAGAAACGCCCTAACCTTTGCAATAGAAATTGACAGGATTAAAATCGGCTGGTATAAATATAGATGTAACAAGACAATAAACATCAGATCCTGATCAGATCCTAACCAGAACTTCGCTGGAGATCCTGGCTAGAGGTCCTGACTAGGCTGCTGATCAACTGAAGGCTGTCTCCGTGTCATTCCTTCTTCGCCGACTCCGTCCACACCTTTGGGGACCCCTGGACCTGCTGGGGTTGGACCCCAACAAAAGCTCTCAGATATTAAACCCTTTTAAGAAAAAAAGATGATACAATAAGCATG